AAAACTGTCCAGTGCTCACTTGAAATTCAAATGGAATTCTGTGTCTTTACCCGCTGAAATCATAGCATGGAACTTGGCTCCTGCAACCTTGCTGATGCTTAGTAAATACTATAGAATTTGGGGTACATGTTACTCAAATAAGAACTGAACCAGGTGCAATTCAAACTCAGGTGACCTTCCATGCAAACCACAATCCAAGACTGGCCTTCTCGCTGCATCTGAGGCTGAATCTCAGAACATCCAGCAACTACCCTCTTTCCCCGAAAATAAGACAGTGTCTTATATTAATTTTTTTTCTCCCAACGTTGCGCTAGGTCTTATTTTTTGAGGATGTCTTATTTTGGGGGAAACAGGGTAGTTCTAAACTATTTGGTTAAATGTGATATACCAATATTTTCCCACAAAAACGCTCAAGCCAGATTTAAAAAAAAAAAAAAAAAAAAGATTTCTTTCCAAACCTGGACTGTTAAGATTTGCACGGGGGGAAAAAGAAAAAAAGGGGGAAAAAGACAGATCTATGTAGAACAGGACCCATTCCGGGCAGTTCCCTGCTGCCAATTTTATGACATCTTTACTTCAACTTCTCCCAGAGGCCCACGCTGAGGAAGCTGTAAAACCCTGGGCAAACACAGCCATTTGCGAAGAGAAAAGCCAGCAGGGGCCCATCTGCGCTTCACAAGGGCTTTGCTTGTCCTGCGTTTGTGTCCCCAGTTTGTGTGTCGCCATTTGCTGAGCGGCCGCTGGCAGAGGTCTTGGCTGGGGGGTGGACATCTTCCTCACAGCAGTCAGGGGGCGTCCTGCAGGGACTCCACACGCCTCCTGGACGGCCACGGCACGGTACTGGACGTCAGCTACGAAAGGCCTTCTACGGAGCAGGCCCCCCGATAAACAGGGAGGAAGTAAACCTCTCTGCTGGCTGGAACCCCAAAGCCAACAAGACAGGAGGGAGAAACAACGGCCACTCTAAAATCATCACCCAGGGGCTGGGCCCACTACCCACACTCCTGGTCTTGTGATAAGTGAGGGAGAATATCGTGAGGGGCCTGTGAGCCACAAGAGGTTTCCAGGGAACTCAAGAAGTCCCTGTGGCAGTTCTCGTTTCGGGCGGCGCTCTGGAGAGGGGATACTGGTAGCAAACGGTGGTGGGGGCGGTGGAGGGGACTGAACAAGGCCCCTATTCTGCCCGGCACAGGTGCCAGTAACAGGACACCCCGTCTGAGTGAGACCTGGGAGGGGAATGCAAGGTGTGGTTGGGTGTTTTTTTCTCTCCCGGTCCCATTACATAACCCCAAACACACTCTCCGACCTGGTCCAAAGTTCTCCCTGCATCAGGCCCCGTTCAGCTCCTGACCCACTGATTCTTGAGCAACAAGGCCGAGAAAAATATTTGATGTTAGCATCCAACTGTTTTTGAGCTAAGTTAATTATTAAAAAAGAAGAATGACAGCCACAGGGTGAGCTGCCCTCAAGTTTGGCCAGAGTCTCCTGTCCTAATAGCTCCCAAACATCACCAAATTCTATGTGGGTTCAATTACTTACGTTTAAAATATAATAATAATAACCAATAAAGAAACACAATTATCAAATCAGTATGGTGTACACACCTGAAAGTAATATAGCGTTCTACGTCAATTATATCTCAATTTAAACAAATATGATGCTTGCAACAGTTATCCTGCATTTTCCAAGGACTTGGATAGGAACTCGGAAAAGATTCCAGGACCTCCTTCATGCAGTCAACATTAGCTAAACATCAGAAGCCAGTCAAGTGACTTTCCACACACACACAGTCACTTCCAAGCTGCTGCTCCCCGAGACACGCAGGCGATGGGCCGTGCCCCCAGCCACGAGTCTCCTGCCTTCCCCTTTCCCTCCGGGACCGGCTCGCAGCAGACGACTTGATTTATGGGGACGGGCGGAAAGGCAGCCAGTAAGCGATTTTGCACACCACCATTCATTCCTGACCACCGCCGCAGCAGGGTGGGAGAAAGGGGGAAAACACAAGGTTTCCTCTCGACGACGAGGAATCGATAAGTTATTTAACAGCTGCATCCCGATGGGAGCAGAGTGAGGGCTTCTCCTGCACCCCTCCCCCTGGAAAGGATGACATGCACCCCCTGACAGCCGAGGACTTAACCAGAGGAGGATCGTTAGAAGGAAGCAGAAAGAATCCTTGGGTGCCTTGGCTTTGGAAGATAGATAGCGAGAGGCCTTGACATGACTCCGTTTGTGTTGTTGTGTTGTTTCTTTCCTCCGAAGAGGAAATCGACTCCCTTCCTGTGCTGCTGTTGTTCATTTTGGAGAATCAAATGCCACTAAAAAAAGTCATTTTTCTTATCTTTCCTCACTAAGAAATCCAACATCACTTCTTAGAAAACGACCTAAATTTTTTCTCAAGGTGGTATTCCGAACAGTGTCCAACATTTGTGCCTGTCCTTCAGAGTAAACAGAACGGGGACGAGAGGCGTTATAAACCCGTCATGGAGTTCAAAGAGGGGAAAAGCATATAAACAGGGCATTAGAAAGCCAGCTGATTTCAGTATTGAAAACAGATTCTTACGGCTGACGGCTTCATGCATATGCATACTCTACATTGCTTATCCTATATGCCCAAATTTCAAAAGTCCCTTCTAAAATTCCACAGTCAACTAAGTGACGAAGAAATCTTCTAAGAAGATAACTCCATGAAAATATTCAGCAGCTATCTCATGAATAAACAAGCTTGGAAATCAGACCAACACCCCCCCCCTCTATTTTTCCTTATCTCTCTACTCCCCAAAAGTCTGAAATTCTGCAGACCCCAAGGCATGTTGTAGTTGTTGCTTTTAAAAAATCTTTGCTGCCAAAACACAAACCAACAAAAACCCTTAAAATAAATACATTCCCACAGGATGTTGAACAAATGCTACTACATTCAAAGGGAAGGAGCTCAGGAACCACAAACTACAGACCCTGCACCCAAAGGGCATTAAACGAGTCTTTATTTTTAACTGGAATCTCCTGGAGGAAAAGACATGCCAACGTAGCACCCACAAAGCCCCAGAGCCACAGGGCTGCGGGGCAGCCAGGGGGCGGCAGGTGGACGCAGAGGGGCCCACCTGGGGAGGGTTACCTACCCAAGGGCTTTGGGCTCAGACTAGTAAAGGGGAAGAACCAAGGCTAGATTCTGGATTCAAGAACAAAGAGGGAGGGAAAACTCTAGATGTGAACACTCTGGAACTGTAGTGGGCAGGCCTCTGAGGTCCCTGGGCTCTTGTTACTACTGGGGGCTGGAAACACCCATTTCTCTCCCTTAAAAAACAAACAAACAAAAAAAAAACATATAAGCAGCCTTACCAACCCATCTCAAACTCTTCCCCTAGTGATGAGAATAGGTGTGTGCCTCAAACCACATCGTGTTTGATTAAAAAGCCTGCACAATTAAGTTAACCAGAAATGCTCCGGGAGCCCATGGCGGCACCAATCTTTGTCTCCAAAGAGCACTTCAATCGCGAACTCTGGGCAAAGGAATGCAAGGGGCTGTCTTTGAACAGGGAATAATCTAATTCCGAGTGGCTGGATTAGAGGCATTCCGGGGCACACCGGACAGCTTTGAAGATAATGCTGCACGGATGTCGATTTCTGACAAAAGGCACAGGCTCCGCAGGAGGATTCCAAAATAGACAGGACCCGGACAGAGGCACCTTGGGGAAGTTCACCCTGCTGCAAGGTGGCAGTTGGTTCTAAAAGGGGGACGTAGCCCGTGACAGCTGGACATTCCTCCCCAAAGCCCATCTCCAAGGCCAAGCCCTGTCCAGACCTTACACTCCATCAGACAAAAGCTCCTCCCCGGGCCCAGGCAGCGGCTAAAGGGGGGCTGTGTCCACACCCACACGCTGCACAGCTTCCAAACCTGCCCACTCCTTTTTGGAAGCCGAGCTTTTCATTAAACCACCTCCCCGGATCTGTTGAGGCAAATTGAGGATGGGCTGGAGCCAAAGAGAAGCTCCCTGAATATACATGGGGGGAAAAGATCCCCCCTCCGCCCCCAATGCCCACCTCCAGCCAGCCAGCTCCAAAGGCTGATTATGTTTCCTTTGGAGGAGTAACAGAGGCCCCTGGTCTCTCTCCATGCACAGAAAATCCACGTCCCAAGGATCAGGTTATCCCCAGTCCCACCCTTTGCAGGGGAAAGCCAGGGTGTTGTTCTCCACCCCAACACACGCGTGTGTGCGCGCACGCGCGCGCACACACACAATTTTCACACAGTCCCTCCTGGAGATAACCCGGAGTCTGTGTGGTGGGTACATGGGGGGGAGGGAGTTGGGGGGGGGGGGGTAAGTTACAACTGTTTGTGGGGCCCCAGCTTGCCTTCAGGGGGAGCCTCTGCCAGGGAAAGGAGGGGCCCCTGCAGGGCTGCTCTGGGAACTTCTGCTCCGCGCCCCGGGGAGGGCCCGAGGGAAGGGCACGCACACCCTCACCGGCTCTGAAACAGCCTAATTAATACCTAATTTGTTCAGATTCCTCCTCCAGGAGGAGGGAAAGGGTGGCTTCCCCTCCAGGCTCAGGCGGGAGCTCCTTTCCGAGGCCCGGCAGCGCCCCCACTCCCGCGCCAGGCGCCCCCTCCCCGTGGGGCCCGGGGGACCAGGTGTCCGCCCAGCACCCAGCCTCTGCGGGTCGCAGGCGCTCCGTCCGGCCAGCCACAGACAATGGGGAACTTGGAGCCGGGGGGCCCTGAGCCCCCCAGGAAAACGAATTGAGGCCGCCCCCCTGGGACAATGAGCAAGGAGAGGGGAGGGCGCATCCAACATCCCCGGGGAAGCCGCCCGCCCGGTGACCCAGCAGAGCCCGAAGCGGCGCCGGGCGGAGCAGGTGACCCGGCCGGGCGCTCCCGCAGGTGGTGGCCGCCGGCCGCCGCGCACACAGACCCGGACCGACCGGGCGGCCGGCCCGGGGCGCGGGCGCAGGCGCAACGCCGCGGCCAGGTCAGCGCCGCCGCCGCCGCGCCCCCGGCGACCTACCTTCATGTCGCTGATGATGGTCTGGAAGAGGCCTCCGAGCGCGCTGCATTCCTTCTCGATCACAGCCTCCATCTTCCCGGGACGCGCTCGCTGGGCCGCCTGGGCTGGGCTGGGCGCGGGGCCGGGCTGGCTCGCCGCGGGAGGACTCTCACCCTCGCAGCCTCTCCTGCAAAGAGGACGGACGAAGCGCCCGGGGTCGCCTGTTCTCCGCCCAAAAAATAAACAACAATAATTTCAAAAAGCCAAACCGCTCCGCAGGGGGCGGGAAGGGGGATGCGCCTACAAGCAGCGCCCGGCTCCCGGCCTTAAAAACGCGCGGGGAAGGTTGACCGTCAGACCGCCACGGGTGCCCACGACGGGAACGGCAAAGCCCATCTTGAGGCAGAGAAAACCGCCCGCTGACCCACGGCCAGCGCCATTAAAAAAAAAATGCAAGGTTTTCTAAATGAAAAGGGTTTGGGGAAAATCTGCAAAAAGAATAATAATAACAACCGCCTAACAGCAGAGCGGGTGAGCTCGCAGCGCCCGGATCTGTTGCTCGCAGCCGCAGCCGCCGCCTCCTTTTCACTCCCGCGCGCCCGGCCCCGCGCTCGCGCTGGCGCGGCGCCCGCGGACGTCCTGAGGGGCGCGCGCACGCGCACGCGCGCTCGCGGCCGTGCGTCCGCCGCGGGGGGACGGCAGGGCGCGTGCGCGCGCAGGCGGGGTCGGGAGCGCGTGTACCCGGGAGGCGCGTGGGGGCGCTGGCAGCGGCGAGGCGCGGGCAGGCGGTGCAGCGAGGATTCGAGCCCGGCCGGAGCCTCCTCCTCCTCCTGCTCCGAGCACGCACAGGGCACCTTCGTCTCCCCCGGCCGCCGCCGGCCGCAGCGCGGAGAGGGCGTGTCCGCACGAGGCGAGGGGAACGCCCACCCCACAATGGCCGCGGGCGCCCGCAACGCAGGGTGCACCCGCCCCTCCCCGGGGACTCGCGGTGGCCAGCTTAGCGCGGTGCCCGGCAAATAGCGAGCGCACTCAGTAGGGCGAGAAAACTGCTATTTCTGCTGCTGCTGCTGCGGGCTTCTCAGAATAGGCGCGGTCTGTGCTATCAGGACTGCAATGCAAGTCACGACTGCAAACAGCCGAATATGTCATTTAAGGAGAGTTCGGGGCGTGTCCTGCAGCAGCGGGATGCGGAGTTCGATAAAGTTACAGGAGGCTGGGAAAGTGGATTGATTTGCCATTGCTAAATGGGTGGCAATAGAGCCATTATTGCTGACCGCCCGTGGCGTGGATAGTTTGTCAGGCCCAACTGAGACCCATGGTGTTGGTATATCTGCAGAGAGCCCTATTTCACCTGGAAAGAGAGCGAAAGTGCCCAACTTGACTGGGGAGCTGGTGGTTCATTTTCGCAGCTCAGCCTCCTAGCTGCAGAGATCTCATTTAGATCCGCATCACATAGACAAGGAGGAAGGGAGGTCAAGGAGGTAGCTTTTAAAAGACCTTGAAACAAAGGCACCAAACTCTGGGCTGTTCCCTTGACCAGTGGCAGCACCAAACACACAAAAGGAAATTACAAAAGAAACCATATGCAACATGTCATGGTCTATTTCAGACGCGGTGATAGGAAAAGTTCTAGCTTTGAAAAACTGGGTGAGTCCAAGAGAAGCATAGATCTGCCTGTAACAGCTCGAAAGATCATTCTCCCTTGGGCCACTCTGCCCAGCTCTTAACCACAGCCCCGTCTGTCCACCTCTCTCCCCAAAATCATAGGAAGGAGGGTCCCTTCTGGAATGAACTGCTCTCGTTTGGATGCGTAGGTCTCATCTTCATCTTGCCATTAACAGCGCTGACACATAGTTTGTTCTTAATCATTATCGTTATTATGACTTGACTACTCTAAATATTGCAGTGATCAAGATCACCGCTTTTAGAGCCAGGTTGCCTGGGTTCGATCTAAAGGAATGGGCTTGGGCCATACTAACGGGGCCTCAGTTTCCTCATCTGTAAATGGGGATGAAGATAGCATCAGTGTCACAGGGCTGTCCTGAGTTTCACCTGGACCTGTAAAGCTTTTAAAGCAGTTCCTGGCACATAGTAAACACGCACTTAATAAATTTCATCAACAGAAAGAGATTCACAATGGCCAAGATGTGGAAACAACCTAAATGTTCATGGCGGATGAATGGATGAAGTGTGGTGTGTACATACAATGGGTTATTATTAGCTTTCAAACGGAAGGAAACTCTGCAGTCTGCAACAGCACGGATGAACCCTGGGGGCATTATGCTAAGAGAAATAAGCCAGTCACAGGACAAGTCCTGCGTGATCCCACTTCTATGAAGTATCTAATAAAATAGGCAAACTCAGAGAATCAGAGAGAAGAGAGGTGGCTGCCAGCCGGGTGGGGTGGGTGCTAATCCATGGGCATGAAGTCTCAATTATGAAAGACAAGTTCTAGAGGTCTACTGTACAACACATACTTACACTTTACAGCCTTTGAGATGTGTTAAGAGGGCAGATCTCATGTTGTGCTCTTACCACAATCCAATAAATGTTTTAAAAGAAGGAAGGAAGGGAGGAGGGACCAAGTCAAGGCTCATTCCAGCCCTGGCCCCCCAGGGCACCTGGGAAGCCTAAACGGTTAGTGTGCTGTTCCTCTCACTTTGCTGTGGCCTTCTGGGTACATTGTAGGGCTGTATGTGAGTTATATCTCACCCTCACCACAGCCTTAGGGAGGTTGCCCTACTAGCCTCCATGTTACTATTGGAAAGTGGCCGGCTGGACTTCAGCCTTGGCTTTCTGATGCCAGGCCTGAGGGCTCGCTTCCACCCAGCCTCCGGCCCTCCTGGCCTCCGGGGCTCAGTCCACACACCAAGTTCGTCTTTCTTGCCACACACCCGAATTCAAACGCCCTCAACACAGAACCTTAGTAGTGTTTCAAAAGCACACCTCTCTCTCTATTTTTAATCCTCACAGAGGCTATTTTTCCAATGATTTTTTTAGAGAGAGTGGAAGAGAGAAGGAAAGACAGAGAGAAACATCGATGTGAAAGAAGCACATTGTTGTCTCCTGCAGTGTCCTGGCCAGGGCCCGGGCTGGGGAGGAGCCTACAAATGAGGTGCATGACCAGAATTGAACCTGGGACTCTTCGGTCCACAGGCCGACACCATCCACTGAGCCAAATCGGCTAAGGCTAGCACACCCCTCTTGTCTCCTTTCTCACAGGCCTCCACTGGCCTCGGGACTGAGAAGCAGGCCCCTGTCTTTCAAGAGAAAGCTCTCCTTGAGGGGGAGCCTGAGGACAGTCCACCAGGCAGCGAAGGCTCAGAGCTGGGACACCACCAGGCATTTTTAATAAGTCTGTGGCCAGGCTGGTGAACGGAGGGATTTTGAGCAAAAAACTGACAAGGTCAGATTTGCACCCCTATGTTACCTTCTTTCCCTGTAGTTGAGCCTCCCCTGTAGTTGATTTTCTCCTGGCTTTGGAACACCCAGCATTCACTGTGCAGACTTCAAGACCCAATTAATGCATCATTCCTCCCAGAAACTTTTGCTTTTTGTTTTTAATGGCTCCTAGAAGGAGGAGCCCAAAGGAAGGGATCTCTACCAGAATGAATTTCAACCCCAGTGATCCTGGGAAGGAGAGATCCGGAGGCAAGGATACCTTCCCAAAGCAGCTCCCCACCCCCTCCTCCCCCAGGGGAGGTGGTCAGGATGCTCTCCCTCTCCCACCCCTGCCATCTCCTCCAGCTGTGACCTCCCGCAGGCTGTCTGAGCTCCCCGCCAGCTTCTGTTTCGGTGGGGTTCCTACTGAAGGGCTGCTCCCAGGGTTGAAATGGATGTCAGATGCATGTCTACAGCAATGCTGCCCTCATGATCCCCCTCCTCAGAAGTGATTCTCAGCTCAGGCTGGCCGAGAGCTCTGCCTGGTCGCCAGACGGCAGCAATTGGAATCCCCTGTGGGGATTTTAAATCACTCCCACCAGGGCTCCACTCCCAGGGTGACCGATTCAGGTGTCTGGGCTGTGCCCTGGGCATTGAGACTTTCCAAAGCTTTCTAGATGATTCCAATAGGCAGCAAATTTACCAATCCGACCCATATACAATTAGAGTGGAATCTCTGAGGACTGGGCACCAGACTTTTTAAATGGACCATACATATTTTATCCCATCCTCATCTCAGTGGGATGGAGGATGTGTGTGTGTGTGTGTGTGTGTGTGTGTGTGTGTGTGTGTGTTGTTATTATTTGTTTTACAAAACTGGGATCACATACACATACGTTTTGGATCTTGCTATTAACACTTCTGTTACACACGTCTTGCTATCAATGGTTTCTGTAAAAAATTCCTCCAGGTCCATTAATATTATCCTAACACATTCTTTTTCTTCTTTTAATTTTTAAATTTTGACGCAACCATGATGTATAGAAACACTGCAGGAGTAGGGCAGAGGTTTCTCAGGTACCCTTCATTAGGTCTCCCAAATGTTAACCCATTAGGATATTTGCTTCATGCTTGGGGATGCTTTTAAAACTCCACAGCTGTCTTTAATGTGAGGCCCCGGGGTTGCTATGAGACTTAGATGCTGTTTGTGACACTCCTGAGCCTAGTGAGGGGCTTTGCATGGGAGGCAGCTGTGGGAGGTGGTTAAGGGGGTAGGCTCTGTCCAGCCGGTGTGGCTCAGTGGTTGAGCTTTGACCTATGAACCAGGAAGTCATGCTCGATTCCCATTTAGGGCACATGTCCCAGTGTGGAGCATGCAGGGGGCAGCTGATCAATGATTCTCTCTCATCATTGATGTTTTTCCTCTCTCTCCTTCTCCCTTCCTCTCTGAAATATATATATATATATATATATATATATATATATATATATATATATATTTTTTTTTTTTTTTTTTTTTTTTTTTTTTAAGAGAGTAGGCTTAGGGTTAGGCTACCTAGGTTTGATTTCTGGCTTCTTCACTTCCAAACTTTCTGTGCCTCCATTTCTTCATCTGTAAAGTGGATAATACCGTGTTTCCCCGAAAATAAGACCTAGCACATGGAAAGATAAGACATCTTTCCATGCGCTATAGAAGTGCTAACTCCAAAGGC